GAAAGCAAGAATAAGGCAAGATTACTGTAAAATAAAATCTGAGCATCCAGAGTTAACTAAGCAGTACTGATATATTGGTATCTATCTTCTTACTGTTTTTAAATTGAATTTGATTGAATCTTGAACACAGTCACTGGGTATAAAATTCAAATGTTTTGAAAAGTCACAGTGAAAAGTGAGGTTTCTTTTCTTTCCTCCTCCAGTTGCCTGCATGTTCTCTGTTTCCCAGCTTCTGTTGCAGTCTTCCAGAGACAGTGTATCCATTTACATGTTACACACACACATTTTTAAATGTGACAGTAGCTTTATATATACACTATTCAGAGTGGTTTTTTTCTCTGAACTCATGTGTCTTGGATCTTTCCATATTAAAACGTAAAAATATTCCTCACTAAAATTATGAGTGTGTGTGTGACATTTTAAAAGTCAAATAGTACTACTAAACTTAAAACATTCAGTGTTTACATAATTTTGACTAAGCCAGTCTTAGCTGTGTAACCAAGGGCAAAGCCACTTAGGTTCTCTGTGTTTTCTTCAGGCTCCTTATGTATAAAATAGGAATATAATAGGATTGAATATGTCAGTTCTGGCCCAGAAGCCCTTATCTACAATTCTGAAATCCAAAAAGCTCTGAGATAGAAGGTACATGACATTTGGTGGCAAAGGCTGCCTGAAACTGCCCTAAAGCTATTTAAAGTTTTGTTTATCCCTCTTAGTTTGGATTTCTGTACATTTTACCATAGAAATTTAATTTTGATTTAGGATATTCCTCAGATCTAACTGGATGTGTTGAGTAATAAAGATTATATATGTGCTGTATTCCCTTTCTAAAATCTGGGAAAGTATCTGAATTTTGAAACACATATGGCTCCAAGAATTTTGGCTAAAGGACTGTGGACCTATATAAAAAGCACTAAAAACCATGCCTACCACAAGACATAAGTGTTATGTGTTACTGGTTATTATCATTACCAGCCAAGTCACATAGCCTTCTGTATGTACATTCATTTTCTTTTTCTTGGAGGTAATAATTGCCTTGTTTTTCTGTTTGCTTAGTTTTAATGTATCAGGTACAAATTTTTTATATACTAATTACAGAAAAATACCCATTCAAAAAATTCAAATGCATCAGATATAAATATACAAAACTAAAAGTGTATATATATTTATAAATGTATTAGCATATTCCCTTATTGTGTCTCATCTTCCACCAAAATGCAAGTTTCTGAGAACAGATGCTTGGTCTATTTTGTTCTCTGTTGGATCTCAAGTGCCTACAATAATTTCTGGCAAAGAGAAGGCACTTAAATCCTTATTGGATGAGTGAATGTAGCAGGTATTCTATTAGCTTCGTTTCCTTTTCAGACTGCTCTCTCGCAGAGCATTCTGTACTCTTGCTCCATTCTGGACCAGCAGCCTTCTAGGATAATAGGGATTGGTTGTGCCTCTTTCTCTTTCTTTTATTTTTTCTTTTCTTTTCTCCTTCTCCTTCTCCTTCTCCTTCTCCTTCTCCTTCTTCTTCTTTTTTTTAAGTAGGCTCCACACCCAACATGGGGCTTGAACTCATGACCCTGTGATCAAGACCTGAAATCTAGAGTCAGGCACTCCACCGACTGAGTCACCCAAGCACCCCACCTTTTGCCTTTTGCCTCTTTCCCATCTTTTTTTTTTTTTCTTTCTTCTTTCCCATCTTTGGCTTCCTTTTTCTCTTCCTTGTTTTAGTTCTTCATCTTGGTGGGTCACAATTCATAGATTGTAAAATGTTTTACTAACCCTTCCAAACTGTTATTGCCATATAATGAATGACTTAGTGGCATTCTCCCCCAACACCCACTCATTGTATTCTTGATTCTGAAATAGGAATTTTAGAAAGGCTCAGTTGGGCATTTGTGGCCTGGGGTCTCTCATTGAGATTGTATTCAGATGGAGCTAGAAACACAGGAAGTCTACAGCAGCTAAGGGCTGGTTAAGTCTCTCCCTTTCTCTTTCTCTTTTTTTAAGGTGTCTCTTTTTATATAGTTGGGGCCACTCCATTTGGTCTCTGTGTGTCTAGTTTGGGCTTCTTCCCAGCATAGCAGCCTCAGGGCAGTTAGACTGCTTGCATAGAGGCTGGTTTACACAGAATATCATTTTTCTTTCCTTGTACTTAATGATAGGTTGGTGGGTATAGAATTCTAGAATGGATCATTTCCCTTCAGGATTTTGTTTTCTGACTTTCAAAATTTGTTGAGAAGTCCAATGTCATTTTAATCCCAAATCCTTTCTATGTCAGCTGATTTTTCTCTCTAGAAGCTTTTAAAATGTTCTCTTTACCAACTGTGTTTTGGAATTTCATATACATCAGGGAATAGATTTGATAAAGTTAATGGAAGTTTTGCTTGGTTGAATTTTAGGTTCTGCTTAAGTTTATACCCCCAAAACTGGGCTCCTTCCCATTACTTCAATAATTTACTTTGATTCAACCTGAGTCCATTTGGACTGCTGTTACAAAATACCACAGACTGGGAAGCTTATACAGAACAGAGATTTGTTTCTCACAGTTCTGGATGCTGGGAGGTCCAAGATCAAGGTACCAGCATGGCTGCATTCTGGTGGGGGTCCTCTTTTCTTCCTGGTTCATAGCCAGGACCTTCTGCTGCATCTTCACATGATGGAAGGGGCTGGAGAGTTCTGTGGGTTTTGTTTTATAAGAATATTAATCCTATTCATGAGGGTTCCACCCTCATGATCTAGTCACCTCCCAAACTTCCCATCTCTTAATGTCATCACTTTGGCATTAGGATTTCAACATGAATTTTGAGGGGACACAGACATTCAGACTGAGAAAACTTTACTAACTGCCATTCATGTTGATCATTTTCTGGCTTTCCATTCTTCAGCACCTGTATGTAGTTTAAAGTTGATTTTTTTTTTCAAGATTTGAGAGAGAGAATGAAAGAGCACACATGCACACACCCATGAGTGGGAGAGGCAGAGGGAAAGGGAGAGAGAATCTCAAGCGGACTCTGCACTGATTGAGGAGCTTGACTTGGGGCTAGATCCCATGACCCTGAGGTCACAACCTGAGCTGAAACCATGAATCTGATGCTCAACTGGCTGCACCACTAGATGCCCCAACCTGTGCATAGCTTATAATTTACTTTTTAAAAAGATTTTATTTATTTATTCATGAGAGACACAGAGAGAGAGGCAGAGGGAGAAGCAGGCTTCTTGCAGGGAGCCTGATGCAGGACTCAATCCCAGGACCCCAGGTCACAAACTGAGCCAAAGGCAATGCTCAGCTACTGAGCCACCCAGGTGCCCCTATAATTTACTTCTAAAACTTAAATGCTTCAGATGTTTTAGACTATGTTTTATTTCCCTCAAACTCATATACATATCCCATATTTGCTATTATTTTTATATCCCTATAGTACCGATTGCAGGGCCCCAATTCAGTAAAAAATCTAATTAAGACAGATTGTGAGTGAATGCTCTCCATCTTCCAAGAAATAAGCTGCCCCATTGTTGATTTACTGCTATAGACAGAAAGTGTAGAACTTCTCTCTTCCTCTCTAGTTCAGATCAACCTGTCCCTTTTATTTTTTAGATTGTATTTATTTATTCATGAAAGACACAGAAAAAGAAAGGCAGAGACGTAGGCAGAGGGAGAAGCAGGTTCCAGGCCTGATGTGGGACTCGATCCCGAGACTGCAGATCACGCCGAGCCAGGGGCAGGTGCTTAACTGCTGAGCCACCCAGGCATCCCCAACCTGTCCCTTTTAAAGGCTAGCTCCTTCCACAGTACTCAGAAAAAAGTCACATGATCCTCCTGTGGAGCAACAGTTCACCAGAAATGGAGTGAAATTTCAACCAATGTATTGTTTAATCATGCTGTTGTTTTCCCTCTAAGTCTTTAAGATGTCATACTGTTTTGCAACTTGGTGTGAGCATATACTTTATATATCTCAAAGGTATTCTTGTCACCTTGTTAAGAATGTAATGAAATGATACAATAATTGTGTTGTGTTATGTAATCAACCTGGTTGAATCTCTGTTCTTTGGGGATATTGTGGTGTCTCAAAGATCACAGTTCTGAGAATGTGACCTTATGAAGGCAGAAAACCGGGAAAAAGAGATAATCTTTTAAAATTCTGGAAACAAGGGAAAGCTGCTTTCAGTTGTTTAATTGCTCATCTAATAGATGAAATTTGCCATCTCTGGGGACAAGTCAAGGTATAATCTTAACAACCAAATTTAAATTAATCAAATACAGGGACACCTGAGTGACTTAGTGGTTGAGCATCTGCCTTCAGCTCAGGGTGCGATCCCAGAGTACCAGGATCCAGTCCTGCATTCAGGCTCCCTGTGGGGAGCCTGCTTCTCCCTCTGCCTATGTCTCTGAGTCTCTCTCTCTCTCTCTCTCTCTCTCTCTGGGTCTCTCATGAATAAATAAAATCTTAAATGTTTCTTAAAAAAAAAAAAAGAAAACAACACTCAACAATGAAAATGATCTGAGTGTAGCCTCAGGCAAGTGGTACATACATATATCATATCATACATATATGATTGTGACTGATTTAGCTGAAATCTAACTGAATGTACTGAAGTCTGTATGAAGAAAGTGAATAGAACAATGATCAGCATAAAGTATAACAAAAACAAAATTTAAACAAAATTTAAAACAAAATCATGAGTTCTTTGCTTTGCACTATTCATATGAAATAAATACAAATTCTGTTAGTCATGAATATAGGCACAGTGATGCAGTAACACCTCATTAGAATTCAATTTGTTGAGATTTAGTGCACTTTTCAAAGAGTACTCTGAATGAAATTGAATCACAAATAGAATGCTTATTTTTCCACTATTTCCAGAAGTTTTAAAGTGATCCCATCTACCAAGTCTTCCATTTTCCACTTTATACACAACAGCTCTAGGATTGATAACATACCAGTGTAAGGTTTTTTAGGTGAATGAAGGAGACCCCAAGGCAAAATGATCCGTAGGATGAACTTTATTGCCAGCGCCCTCGGGCGAGGTTCCAGCGACTCGGGAGAAGAGAGTCAGGGAAGTCGCGCCCGGGTTGGGGGGTGCGGGTTTTTTTTTTTAAAGCCTTATGGGTTCTGGGTCTGGATCTGGGTGGGTCCCTTGCCAATTTAGGCTGGGGATGGGAAAAGTCCAGACGATCGGGGGGGGGGGGGGTCCCGGATGGATGGTCCCGGTTCGGTTTCCCATCTAGGTTTCGATTTACTGGAGAGGACCTGGTGGTCACGGCGGCTTTGGCCGGAAGATCCGCCATCTTGACCCAATTTGAGGTGTCGGCCATCTTGGGTGCTCCTGTCTCTTGGCCAGCCCAACATTCCGATCTTTTTTTAAAATTTAATGGTGTGAGGGGCGTCGACTGTATTCTGGCTACTTCCTGCTGACAGTTGGGCGTCGTGATAGGGGCAGTCGGAGGTGGGCAGGCGAGAGCAGGGGTAGTACCGAGGAGTTGATTCACTGAAACTCGCGCCGTCTCTCAAGGCGTTCCTGTAGACACCTACCAAGGCAGGGAGCGACCGAGGTTAGGAACAGGATTAAGCACAGGGATCCCGCTGGGGGGAGGAGCCAAGTTACCCAAGTGCGGGGGTCTGGACCCCACAGGTGGGAATCCTGGCGTCTGGATTGTATCCGGTCTCTGAGTTCGCGAATTTTGGAGGTGACTATGCCCGACTGGTTAACGTAATAGCAACATTCTTCATTTAGGTAGAGGCAAGTGCCCCCTTTTTTTGCTGTTAGGAGGTCTGAGGCTCGCCTGTTCTGCAGGGCGACGGCTGCAAGGCTGGTAATCTGCGTCTGCAGGGCGCTAAGGGAATCGGCGATCCACTCCATGTCATCATTGAGTGCCTGGGAGAGCTTGTAATAAAAGTTTATTGAAGTTCCGAGGCCTGCCGCTCCGGTGGCAACACCTGTGGTCAGGCCCGCCCCAGTGAGTAAGGGAGTGAAGGCTGCCCGTCTGTCTCGGTGTGTAGGGAATAAGATAGACATGAGGTGAGAGTGGGAATAGATGGTAGTGGAGGGAGACAGTAAGATGAAGATGCAGTCTAGAGAGTCATTGGCGGTTAAGCATCGGTAGATTCCCCCAGGGCATGAGAGAAATACCCCAGGAGGGGTGCAGTAGGGGAGAGAGAAGGTAGCGGTGGAGGAGTTGATGGTGAGGATGTCCAGAGTTGAGGAAAGGTTAAGAATACGTAAGGGTCTTCCTATGGCCCCTGTGTGGACCGTCTGGTTAGTAATGGTGGTGTTGGGTAGGGGTCACGTTGTCGGAATGGGGATCCCGATGATAACTGGAAATGGTAGAGAAAGGGAAGCAGATCCAGCAGTCGCGGTCCTGAGATATGCTCCACCACAGGTTATAACTGGAGTTAAGGAGGGTCATTGTTAGTTGGTCAGTGGGGAAGATCTCTGTAAATTATTGAGGTTGATTCCCTTGTAGGTGGGGATAGCTTGAGCCTGCAATTGGGTATACACGGCCTGGATCATCCACTTGGTTTGATTGTGTTTAGCCTGGTCCTGGACCCCTCCCCCGTGGGAGAGTCCCATCTGGGCCAAATAGGTCCAACAGACTGTCCCAGTTTTGGGGTACTGCGTGCAAGGGGACTTTTTTACTTTGTATTAAGTACTGAGGTCCAGAAAGTTTTTCCCCGGGGCATGGGAGGAAGTGCATGTGGTTGGAGTTTTTCCCTGGTAACAGTCCTGGGGCATGAAAGTATAGGATTGGAATAGCAGTCCTTTCCTATGCCGCGCATGCATTGGCTACAATCAGCTGCTTCAGTCAGGGTGGGTAGAAGGGTCAGGATTAGGAGTACGTACCAACCGCAGTTGGGTTGGGCCCACCATTTGGGAGGTCCACTCGTCCGAGGTTGGTACTCGTTTAAGGTTGTTAATATGTACCCAGGGCTGATGTCCCAGCAATTTTGCTGCGGCTGGGGTGGTGAGGATGACTGTATGCAGTCCTGACCAATGTGGCTGCAGGGATCCTGGCTGTAGGTCCCTGAGGAGGACCTGGTCTCCAGGGAACAGGGTTTGAACAGGGACCTCCCTCTCGTCATGGTCGTCTGGAGCAGGTATGGTCGCGTCAGCATGGACTTTTAAGAGGGCTCACAGAATAGGTAAGTAAGAAAGAAGGGGTTGCGGGGGGAACCCGGAGGCTGGAAGTTTGTGGGTTAGGAGACATGGTCGGCTGTGCAGGAGTTCGAATAGACTTAATCCCGAGGGCCCCTGAGGAGTTGCCCTGAGTCAAGTGAGGGCGAGGGGCAGTAAGGTGGGCCACGAGAGACAGGTTTCTAAAGTAAGTTTGGTGAGTTGGTCATTGAGTAACCCGTTGGCCCTTTCTACCTTACCCGACGATTGGGGATGGTACGGGATGTGGAGCTTCCGGGTGATACTAAGAATTTCCACAACCTGGTTGAGTCATGCTGGAAATGAAGGCAGGTCCGTTATCCGACTGCAGGGTTCGAGGCAGTCCAAATCTTGGGATGATGTGTTCGATGAGGACTGTGGCCACGACATCCGCGGTCTCTCGGGCTGTGGGATATGCCTCAATCCACCCTGTGAACGTATCCACTATGGTTAGGAAGTACTGGAAGGACTTGTGATGGGGCATGTGGGTGAAGTCCAGTCACCAGTCTTCCCCAGGCTGGTGTCTACCAAGCTGATGTTTGGGTCCTGGCCTACAGATCCTGCCTTGAGCGTTAACAGCCACACCGGTTTTGCAGGCTCTATGTACTGCCTCTATCACTTTGGAGAGGGAGGGGTGATGAAAGAGGGGTGGTAGGAACTGGTGGAGAGCCTCTGGGCCAATATGGAGGGACTGGTGGATGTTGGTTATTAGGGTGTGGGCCAGGCCTTCCGGTAGGGCAATTTTATCTTGAATATAGATCCACCCCTTCTCTCCCGACTTTCCCTCTAAACTTTGGAGGGTTTGTATTTTTTTTATCAGAGTATGATGCGCTGTGAGGGTGTTGAGGAAGAGAATCGGGGCCAAGGAGGTATTTAGAGCCGTCTGCCTGGCCACTGAATCAGCCTAATTGTTTCCCAGAGAGATAGGGTCCCTGGAGGCCGGGTGTCCGCGGTAGTGGACCACCGCAACCTCAGCAGGGAGGTCGAGGGCCTCAGGTAATTTGGCGATAAGTGGTCCGTTGACTATGGGAGTTCCCTTGGTGGTCAGAAACCCTTGCTCCTGCCAGAGGACGGAGTGTGTGTGTGTGTGTGTGTGATGAGGTAGGCATATTTAGAGTCTGTGTAAATTGTGACCCGCTGTCCCTTTGACAGGTGGAGGGCCCGGGTAAGAGCTATTAGTTCAGCCTTTTGGGAGGCAGTCCCAATGGGGGGGGGGCGTCTCTACCACTGCATCTGAGGTGACCACTGCATAAGCTGCACGCCTCTGGCCGTCTGGGGCGGGGAGGGAGCTCCCGTTCACAAAAAGGACACGGTCAGGACTAGAAGCAGCTGATCAGAGTCCTGGGAGGGAGGGGGTTAGCTCTTCTAGGAGTTGTGGGTAGGAATGAGAGGGCTCAGGGGTGGACGAGGGTGTTGGCAGCAGGGTCGTTGGGTTTAGGCGAGGAGTAGGAGAGAGAGAGAGATCAGAGGATTTTTGATAAATAGTAGATGATACAGCTGGAGGTGTGAAGGGGTGAGTTGAGCCAGGGATTGGTGACTAACCAGATCTGAGAGTCGATGGGGAGAGTAGACTGTGAGAGACCTTCCCAGGGTGAGCTTAAGGGCCTCCTAAGTAAGAGAGGAGGCTGCTGCCAGTGCTCTGAGGCATGGCTGCCATCCCTGAGCAGTGGTGTCCAATTGCTTTGACAGGCTAGGGCTCTGTAGATGGGTCCAACCGGTTATGCTAGAAGGCTGGTTGCTGAGCCAAAGCATTCATCAGTAAAGAGGTGAAAGGGTTTAGAGGGGTTGGGTAGTGCCAAGACTGGTCCAATGGTGAGACAGTCCTGCACCTTAGAAAATAGACGCCAGATGGAGGTGGGAATTGGTTAGGGGTCCTTGGGGGGTTTCCTTTGCTGCCTGGTATAGGGGACAGGCTAGGATGACAAAATTAGGGATCCAGTGTCTAAAGAAGCCCACTAGTCCCAGAAAGGAGAGAATTTCCTCCACGTTCTGGGGAGGCTGGAGTTCCCGGAGGAGACAGATGCAGTCTCCAGTGAGGGATTTGTTAGTAGGGGTTAAGGAAATCCCCAGGTAGGTGACCGAGGGGGTACACAGCTGACCTTTAGAGGGGGTGACCTGGTATCCCTTAGTTCCTAGGAAGTTGAGTAAGGTGGTAGTATCTTCTCGGGATAGGGAAAGGGACGGGCTACAGAGGAGAAGATTGTCCACATATTGGAGTATGGTGCTGGCCTAAGGGTGCATTGTAGTAAACCTAAAAATATGGGGACTGTCCCGAATCCCTGGGGAGGGACAGTCCATGCTAACTGTCCCGAGGCATGCATGTCGGGGTCCTCCTAGGTGAAGGCAAAGAGATAGTAGGAGTCGGGATGCAGGGGAATGGTAAAGAAGGCATCCTTTAAGTCCAGCACCGTGAAGTGAGAGGTCTTGGGTGGGATGTGGGATAGTAGGGTGTAGGGATTAGGGACGACTGGGTGGAGCGGGATCACGGCTTCGTTAATGAGTTGCAGGTCCTGGACCAGTTGGTAGGTTTGCGAACAGGCAAGATAGGAGTGTTACAGGGGGAGTTAATAGGAATGAGGAGTCCCTGCCGTTTTAGGCGGTCGATGTTGGGTTTAAGGCCCTGCCGGTGGGCCAGGGGGATGGGAAACTGCCCCCAGGAGGGGAACTGGGAGTTGTCCTTTAGCTGTATTTTTACGGGGGCATGATGGGATGCGGTGACTGGCAATGCGGTGACATTAGAGGTGTCCCATACTTTTGGGTCTGCCGAGGGGAGGCACTCCGGGGGTGGGGACGGCGAGGTAGAGGAGTAGGGGTAAATCGAGACATTCTGAGGTCAAGGGAGAGGGTGAGAGGCAGATGGTAGTTTGCAGTTTGTGGAGGATGTCCCTTCCTAGTAGGGGCACCAGACAGGAGGGAATGACTAAGGAGTGTGAGAAGGGAAACCACTCCAGGCTGCAGGTAAGGGGAGGAGTTACCCTGAGTGAGGAGGAGGTCCCATCAATCTCCATAACAGTGATGGTGAGGGTTGGGTTGGTCCCGAGTAGGATGGCAGAACTGAATATACCTATATACCCCCGTGGCCAGCAGAAAGGAGATGGACTTACCAGCTACCTGGAGTATGACCCTGGGCTCGGCCTGGGTGAGAGGGGTGTCCGAGTCTGGGCTCTGTCGGTTGTCCTCCAATCCAAGCAACTGGAGGGCAGGACTTACCATCTCAGAGTTTCTCCTGCGTTGAGGCGCCGAGGATCCCCCGAGGCTTGGGCAGTCTGATTTCCAGTGTCCCATCAGTCGGCACTGAGGGCATGGTCGGGTAGGGTCCTTTGGATTAGGACACTGACGAGCCCAGTGTCCCTCGGCCCCACATTTGAAACAGGCCCCTGGAGGGATACGGTTAGTTCCTCCTTTTTGTTGGCTCCTGGAGCCTGCCGGCCGCAGGGCTGCCACCAGGGCCTGGGTCTGCAACTGAACCTTTTGCTGGAGCCTGGCCTGTCGTTTAAGTTCGGCCGCCTCCTCTCAGGACACACACAGAGAGAGAGAGGCAGAGACGCAGGCAGAGGGAGAAGCAGGCTCCATGCAGGGAACCCGACATGGGACTCGATCCCAGGTCTCCAGGATCATGCCCTGGGCTGAAGGCGGCGTTAAACCCCTGAGCCACCCAGCTGCCCGAGTTAAAGACTTTTAAAGGCCATTTTCACTAGGTCAGAGATGGGCGTCTGCGGTCCCTCTCGGCCTTTTTAGTTTCTTTCGAATGTCTGGCGCCGATTGGGAGATAAGATGGGTAGCCAGGACGGTCGCCCCTGCCAGTGAAGCCGGATCGAGTAGAGTGTACTGAGTTAGTGCCTCGGTTAACCGGCTGAGGAACATGGCCGGGTTCTTGTCAAGGGTCTGGATAATTTCTCTGATTTTTGTCATAATTGACTGCCTTGTTGGAGGCTGCCCGCATGCTGGCAATGAGATGCTGGACCATGTGGTCCCGATGCCGGCGCCAGCTTGGCCATTCTGATAGTCCCACCCGGGCTCTCCAGCTGGGACCACCTGAGTGCCAACGGGCATGGTGGCGTCAGTGAGGTGGACCTGATCACCATGTTCTCGGGCCGCAGCCTGAATGTGTTTCCTCTCTTCAGTAGTGAGGGTGGTGGTTTGGACAACGTGGAGGTCATGCCAGGTAAGGTCGTAGACCTGAGCTAGGTATTGGAACTCTTTGATAAAGTTGTCTGGGTTGGCGGAGAAGGAACCCAGACACTTCACTATTTGGGAAAGGTCTTGGAAGGAGAAAGGTGCGTGGACCCGGACAACCCCTTCTGCCCCTGCGACCTCCTGTAGGGGGCAGACTAAGTCTGGAGAGGGGTTATGAGACCCCGTGCGAGTGGAGATAGGAGGGGATGTAAGGGGGTCCTCTTGAGGGGTGGGTTCTGCTGTGGCCTTCAGTTGGGGGGTTTCAGGTGTGGTAGGGGTGAGCGAGATAGGGGTTGGATTGGGGTTTTGCTGAGGAACGAGGGGTACGGGAGGCTGGGGGACAGGAGTGTGATAGGGTGGAGGAGGAGGTAGGAGAGGGGCCCTCACTGAGGGGCTAGATAAGTTTTCCGGAGGCTCGGAAAGGGGAGAGCGAGCAGAGGGGTCGGGATCCTTGGGAGATGTAGACAGGAGGGTCAGAGGAGGAGATCGGGCAAGGAGAACCTGAGATGTAGAGCAGAGAGAGCATAGTGAAGGGCGAGAACGTAGGGTCCAAAAGGCCTGGACGTAGGGAACCTCAGACCATTTGCCTTGGCATCTGCAGAGATTGTCAAGATCCGTAAGCACCTGGCAATCAAAGGTGCCTTCGCGGGGCCATTGAGATTGGTTGTCTAACTGATACTGGGGCCAGGCGACAATACTGTATGAGGCGCCGCCTGCGCAGGTCCTGGTCCAGCTCTAAGGTCTTGAGATCGGCCAGAAGGCAACCCAAGGGCGTTTTTGGATCAGTTTTGGACTGGGAAGTTCCCATAGCTGCCTCGCCTACCAGTTCAGACCACGGAGGAGAGCGTCCCTTCGTCCTGTGCTGGACTGCAGACGGAGAAAGAGGGGTGTACCTGCCACAGAATGGGGACGTCTCCCGATTCTTTGGAGCTCCGGAGGCCACCTGGTAGCCGGAGGGGGGACGCCCTGCCCTAATCGCGGCTGCGTCAGGAGGAGGCTTGGGGCTAGGGACACTCACCGCAGTCTTGAGATCGGCGCTCAGAGAAGCGGTACCGGGCCGGATGGGGAGGAGGGAGCCTCCTCACCGGAGTGGGGGCTCGATCTCCTCCCGGGTTTCAGCACCAAATGTAAGGTTTTTTAGTCGAATGAAGGAGACCCCAAGGCAAAATGATCCGTAGGATGAGCTTTATTGCCAGCACCCTCGGATGAGGTTCCAGCGACTCGGGAGAGGAGAGTCAGGGAAGTCGCGCCGGGGTTGGGGGGTGCGGGTTTTTTTAAGCCTTATGGGTTCTGGGTCTGGATCCAGGTGGGTCCCTTGCCAATTTAGGCTGGGGGTGGGAAAAGTCCAGACGATGGGGGGGGAGGAGGGGTGATCCCGGATGGAAAGCCTAGGTTTTGTTTTGTTTTTAACTTTTTTTTATAATAAATTTTTTTATTGGTGTTCAATTTGCCAACATACAGAATAACACCCAGTGCTCATCCTGTCAAGTGCCCCCCTCAGTGCCCGTCACCCATTCACCCCCACCCCCCGCCCTAGGTTTTGATTTACAGGAGATGACGTGGTGGTCACGGCTGCTTTGGCGGGAATATCAGCCATCTTGACCCAATTTGAGATGTCCTCCATTTTGGTCGCCCCTATCTCTCAGCCAGCCCAACGACCAGGTCCTACCACTTGCCCATTTGAACCCCGTCAGGCCCTTTTATTTGCAACAAAAATATATCTCATAATCTCCAAACTAAAAATCCATTGTGGCTTGTCCAACATCAAAACCCTTATGAGACTAATCAGATAATAATTTAACACAGATGTACACTTCTTAAAAACCAAAATATAAGCTTTTTTTTTTTTTTTAAAAAAAACCTAATCTTTAACAAGTTACTTCATTTCTCTAAGCTTCTGTGAAGCAAGGTTCACCTAGCACTACCCTATTATGAAAATTACTGTTTGGTTTTATAACATACAATTATGTATTGTATGTCGCTCCTGAAGAGGTTTCCTACCTTTCCTACCAAAACTAAAACTTTTCGCCAGCAAAATAAACACAATGGAACTCTCCGAATAGTGTTTTTCTAGCTGCAGGTTGCAATCCATTAGCAAATCACAAAAGCAATTTAGTGGGCAGACCCCTTGCGAGCCTTAAAACCAAACCATAACAAAAGCTGAAATAGAATAAAAGAATAATAAATCCCAGACTGCATCTTAGTGGTAAAGAAGTGTTGTTTTGCGAAATATTTATTTCATCTTACACATTAAACGTGTACTTGAATTGAGATGGGAAATTTGATACACTGCTCTAAAGCTGCAGTTGTCAAAGGTGGTCTGAAGAAAACCCTCAAGGAGGTTGAGAGATCCTCCCTCCCCTTAATTACGCGCATTATCTGTATGAAGCCAGATTTTCTTCACATGCTTCAACCAAAACATTTCTTCAGTAGATTGTAAAAGCAGCTATGACAATTAAGCTGTCGTCTTTAAAGTCAGGCATTAAAGATATTTTCAAAATCATAAAACGATTCCACTCTTCTGATGTTTTGGTTTTGGAAGGAATATAGTCTTTTACAACTTTAAAATGCTATTTATGTTAACCTGGTTACTATTTAAACACCTTGAATTTAAACTTAATATTTGAATTTAATTGCTTTCATGACTCCTACGGTAAACAGCAGGAGATACAACCTACAGGAAAAGCGCTTCGGAGCTCTCCATTGGAGAATCGCTGGTCAACACGAAACAAAGGACTTAGGGCCTGACTCGTGGCAGGTTTAACTAGGTCCGAGGCCCTTCAGCCGAGCGCTCAAGCACCACCCACCCCGCCGACCCCGACGGGGGACGCCCCGCCCCCGGCGAGAGTCCTCGCAAATAGTCACAGATACCGACTAGAGGGCGGGATTTGTCCCCTGAGTGGACGTAGAACAGTGTTCACGTAGAGGTCCCCACTGCAGAGGAAAACCGGGTCACAGAAGGAAAAGAGCGTTTGTAGGAGTCTTTGCGACACTGTCGCGTTTCGTGGGTTCCTTGCCGTAAAGAGAGTCGCGGAGCCGCCCCCGGCCGAGGCAGCGGCAGACGTGCGGGGCAATGGCGGATATGGAGGACCTCTTCGGGAGCGACGCCGACAGCGATGCTGAGCGTAAAGGTGGGATCGGCTGGGCTTGCGGGCGGAGGGGGATGCGCGTAGGGTTTCTGCGGTGGGAGCCCGACGGCGGTCCAGTTCCGGGTCTGCGAACCCCTGGGCGCTGCGGGCGAGCGGCGCCGCTTCCTCCTTCCTCAGCGCCCCCTGCACTCCCGGCGGTGCCAGCCTCGCGGCTGGCGAGAATACAGCGGCTTACAGCGGGAGCCTCGGGGTTCTTGGTGTCCGTGGAGCATGCGGTGGCTCGGGGCGTGTGGGGCGCCGACGAGCCTGCCCAGCCCGCGGAGGAACCTTGCGGTCCTGCTCTGTCCTGCTTGCACAAGCCAGCGCAGAGTAAGAGCTCTCCGTGAATGAATGGACCTTAGGTGCTCGGGAACATGGGGATGACACGGATGAATCTGCAGAGGGGCTCGGAAAACCCGCTTGATTGAGACCAGAGTGTGGCCTGATGCGGAGTTTGAAATGTCTGGCCGGGGAAGACTGGCAGGATAACGCGGTTAGGGCCTTCCCTAGGCGTTACGCGCCGGAAACAATGTGTCTTCTGAGAGCTTGTGCAAAAACTGCAGTTTCTTGACTGTATGGTATTAGACTGGAGAGCATATGGGGTCAGTGCTTGCAGAGGAGAAATAAAGAATTCATTAGTGCATGCATGAAAGTACTTCTGGCACAAGGACTGTAGTTTGAATTTGAAACGTGAATGGGAGGGGCGCCTGGGTGGCTCATTCGGTTAAGCATCTGCCTTGGGCTCAGGTCCTGATCTCAGGGTCTTGGGATCGAGCCCCGCATTGAGCTCCCTGCTCCGCGGGGAGACCGCTTCTCCCTCTGGTGCGCGCACGCTTGCACTCGGCCAAGTAAATAAATCTTAGAGAGAAAGAAAGAAAAGATAGAGGAATGGGAGTTAAGGGCCCCAAGATCAAGTTCAAAATTCTTGCACCCGTCAAAGTAACGTATCTAAATATAGCAAAGTGTTATTCTTTTTTCCTCTAACTCCAGTTTATTCATGTTTTTTAGGGTATAGTGAAGGGGAGCCCTAGATAGAAACCTAACGTGAGGGCTCTATGGAGGTGGGTATCCAGGAGGTTCTAGGCAGAACGAACCTGGAAGTATAAAGTTTTGAATACTGTTTCATTTCCCCCTCATTTTCACTTGACAGTATCCCATTTGCCTTTCAAGGCGCAGTTCCATGTGAACTATCCCATGGCTCACTGTCATGAAGTTGTTCATTCAATAAACATTTATTGAGCTTCATATCCTGTTCCAGCTACTTTGCTAGGTGTTGGGAATAGAATGATGAAAAGATTGTCTCCCCCATATCCCACCGTCTTATGTGGGTGCTTAATACGTACTTGATAAATAGTTGGATGGGTAGAAGCAATGGTTTAGTGAAGTGCACCCTTCCTTACCTAACTATGGCAAACTCGGTGTATGGGGAAGTGATGCATGGAAATGGTTGCTTCTCTGGGCTTCATGTTTTACTTTCTTGTGAGTCTGTTGCTGCTTTCTTCCATGTTACCGTTAGATAATGGGATGCTATAGGATTAACTTCCAAATCTGGCTTTGAAGGTTGTTGTTGGTCTGTGACACGGTAATGCCTGTTAGGCCTAGCATATTTCATTATCTCCCCGTACTAAGGGAGTTGTGGAAAATAACTACACCTGACAAATCTCTTGCCCTGTAATGGGTAGAATCTTTACCTAGGCCCAACGTGTTTCTTTTATATGTAATTGTCCCAGGTGTCTTTAATTTCAGCACTGTTGTGTAGCTTTAATTGTAGAAGTCTTGGACCTCAGTTAAATTTATTCCCAAGTATTTTATTCTTTTGGATACTTTTGCAGGCGAAATTGTTACCTTAAGTTCATTTTTGGATTGTTCATTGCTAGCATATAGAAATACAACTGATTTTTGTGTGTTAAGTCTTGTATCTTGTAACCTTGCTGACTGTATTAGCTCTAATTGTTTTTGTGTGTGTGTGTGTGCTTTTTTTTTTTTTTTTTTTTTTTAGTATTTTCTACATATGAGCTCATGTTATCTACAAATACAAATAGTTTTACCTCTTCCTTTCCAATTTGGGTGCTTTTCTTTTTCTTGCCTAATTGCCCCAGCTACAACTTTCTGTACAATGTTGAATAGAAGTGGTAAGAATGGACATCCTAGTCTTGTTCCTGATCTTAGGGCAAAGCATCCGTGCTATCACAATTACATGTGTTAGCTATGGTTTTTGTAGATGCCCTTTATCAGGTTGAGGGAATTCCCTTCTCTTCCCAATTTGTCAAGCAGTTTTATCACAAAAGGGTGTTGGATTTTGTCGGATGCCTTTTTTGCATCAATTTAGATGCTCACTTTTCTTTAGTCTGTTAGTATGGTCACATTGATGTTGAACCACCATTTCCTTCCTAGGATAACTCCCACTTGGTCATAGTGTATATCCTTTTAATATACTGCTAGATTCAGTTTGCTAGTATTTTGTTTAGTATTTTTGCATTTGTATTCAAAAGGTGTATTGGTTTATAGTTTTTTTTTAAGATTTTATCTATCATTTATGAGAGAGAGAGGGAGGGAGGCAGAGGCAGAGAGAGATGCAGGCTCCCCATAGAGCAGGAAGCTCAATATGGAACTCTATTCCAGGATTCTGGAATCAAGACCTAAGCCCAAGGCAGATGCTTAATCCACTAAGCCACCCAGGCACCCTTGTAGTTTTTCTTTGTGTGTGACATCATTTTTTTGGCTTTGGTATTAGCGTAATGTGGGCCTCATAGAATGAGTTAGGAAGTATTCCCTTTCAAGTTTTTGGAAGACTCAAAAGGATAGGCATTAATTCTTTAAACATTTGATAGGATTCACCAGTGAAACCATCCAGTCCTGGGCATTTCTTTATTGAATCTTTTTGTTGTTGTTGTTAAAGTAGGCTTCACACACACTGGGGCCTGAACTTGGGGCACTGAAATCAAGAGTCACATGCGTTACCAATTGAGCCAGCCAGGTGCCCCGTGTTTGTTGGAAATTTTTTGATTACTGATTCAAACTCTACATGTTACAGCCCTATACAGATTTTGTGTTTTGTCTTGTGTCAGTTTTAGTAGTCTGTTTATAGTAATTCATTTTATCTAAATCATGTAATATGCTGGCATAGAATTTTTATGGTATTCTCTTTAA